AAAGAAAAGAAAGGTAGGGACATTCTGCTGACGGTGTTAGTGCTGTGGCTAGCAATAGGGGATGCCCAGCACCCTTGCACAGGCTGCATCTTCTCTGACTGTCCTGTCTTTCTGAGAGAACTTGACTGCCTCCCCTCAGTACCAGACGTGTGGCCATCAGTTGACTCAAGTTTCCTCAACTTGAGCACAGATTTCTCCTGCTATGTTTGTGCTTCCTCCCAGCAGAACGAATGTTAGAGCTAACACGTGCTAATTTGGCCGAGGCTGCTTTGACAGGATGTTGAAATGAGCATTCATTTCAGTTAGGCAGAAAAAAAAATCATCAAACCCCATGAGCTCAGAGTTATCCCATGGTTCACATCAGCATGTAGACGGCAGAGAAATGAGAGGTCGAGTTAGTGTAAGAAGGTTAATTTATTTGTAATTGTTTTTAATGAATCTATGAAATATCTCCTGTGTGGTTTCCTATTGATTGAGTTTAAGAGATTGAAATAATGAGTGCTCACTAAGTAGTTTCTGCACTATAATCTCCTAGAAGATTGCCCCTTGTGTTATAAATTTGGGAGAAGAGCAAAAAGATTCATTTTGCTACTCAAATACCATCTATCCGGAAAGATCTCCCTTTGTCTAAACTTCCAATCACATTTGAATTCTCTATCTCATTTCTTTGTTATATAGTTTTCCTTCACCAATGATATCAAACATACTGTATATTTTACCTCCTTGTTTTGTTATTGTGTAAATTCTTTAAGGGTTTTTGTGTGTTTTATTTAATGCCCAATCTAAGAACACAGTTGATATGCAGCAGGTGTTCAATAGATAGTTGCTAAATGAATGACTGCTTATCATGTCATAAGAAAATCAATCTTCTCCAGGAAGGGAACCCTAAAATACATCTTTTATGCGCGTGCTGATATGTGTTGTGGAATATTACTTTAACTATGCAAAGATGTGTTACATTTGTTTGTGCTGCCGATTATTACTTTAACTGTGTAAAGGTGCGTTACATTTGTTTACGCTGCATTTGTTTAATGATATAAGGATGTGTGTTTAATTATGTAAAGAGGTGTTGCATTTGTTTCACCTTGCCTGCCTAAGGCACCTGATTGGCCTAATAAAGAGCTGAATGGCCAATAGCCTGTGAGCTTGGATGTTTCCTCACTCATAGCCATGAGCATCACCTATGGTCCATGGGAAGGGGATAGGCTGAAGAAGTGGGTGGACCCCTTCCGAGAAAGGGCTGCAGGAAACCCTCTCTCTATCTTTCCCCATAGATCTATGCTGGAGCGATGGGGGACACTGGTGATAGGCTAAAGCCGGAAGATGACAGCAGGCCACAAGGCTCAGCACGTGAAAGGTTAGGTCAGGCGTACAAAGGAAAGAAGAAGGAGAGAGGAATTAGGTGGAAAAAAACAGACAGTGGGTGGTAGGAAGAAACAGTGGGAAGATTTGAACCCCCAAAGCCAAATGTTCAAAGTGATGTTGGCTTGACACATGCATATATTACCATGTACTAAACAGTGGGGTGTCAGTTCACATATGGCTCTCTCTGAATCTGCACAGCATTTAGAGACATTATTACTTCTTAATGTTGTCAAGACCTGGGACTTTAGGACAGGTTGCCTGAGGTCACAGAGGGAATACCTGACGCTTAGGGATTTAAGTAAATGCTCATATAGATTGATCCCACATTCTAAGAAGGTTAGCATTAATTAACAGGGCAAGCAGATAACCAAGGAGAGCACATCTCAAAATATTATTGAGCTATAGGAGGCTGGAATCATAAGGGGTGGGCTTTCTAGGGTACAAAGAACAATGGCTTGTTTAGAAATGGGATTTTGCAAAGATTTTTAATGCTGCAACTTTACTGTGGCATTAGAGTTTTGTTGGGAGTATTAGTCATACAACATGTTAAAAATATTGGAGTAAGAGTTGCCATGTGGACTGAAAATGATTGAAAGACTTTAAATAAGGGCCAACTGGGGACAAGTTGGGAGAGGAGGGGGGAGTCTAAGAAGGTGTGTGTGTGTGTGTGTGTGTGTGTGTGTGTGTGTGTGTGTGTGTGTGTGTGTGGGGGGTAGGATTGGAAACAATTAGTGTAGGAGGG